TGGGAGTTGAAGTCCACAAGTCTTAAAGTTGCCAAGGTTGGACACCCCTGGTCTAGGCCTTTAATACTTCAGAATCCCATGGCAACCTTTGATACAGTAGATAGGACATATTATTGGGAGTCTTTAATGGGCTTTCTAAGCCAAGCTGGGGAAGGATCCTACATTCAAATAGTGACCTAAACATACATTTATATCCCACTTTATGATTATTTTTTATAAATAATTCAAGGTGGCAAACATACCTAACACTCCTTCCTCTTCTTTTCTCCACAGCAACAACCCTATGAGGTGGTTTGGGTTGAGAGAGGGTGACTGGCCCAAAATCACCCAACTGACTTTCATGCCTAAGGTGGGACTAGAACTCACCTAGTTTCTAGACTGGTTCCTGAACCAGACTAAACTGGTACTTGTAAACATATATCTTGAATATAAACATATCCAAGAATCTTACCTACTTTATCAAATGGCAAGCTATGGAATTGGCTCAGGCTATTTCTGTTAAGGTTGTGATTGTACTGGATTTAGCATTGTTCAAAATGACAACAAACACAGCACAAATGCAGGTTATCTGGTCCATGAAGCTATGGAACTGGCTTATTCATAACAGAGTTCAGAAGGAACTTGGATACTGACTGGAGCCTCTAAAACTAAATCATTTGCCCAAGAACTTGAAAAAAAAACCTTGAATTTATCCACAGATGGGATCAAGGATGTGACTCGGAGCTTCTTCTGATTGTACCACACAAGATTTTAGGATAATGTCTCAATTGTTTATCACATTTGCCTCTGAACTTGGTCTCTAAAGCTTCTTGCTCTTATGTGTCATCATTCACTGCTCTTAGAGTGATCAAGGCAATGGCTAAACACTAGATCAAGGCAATGGCTTTCCTTGTGAATAAGTTCTATAAAGCCCGTAAAGGTATTAAAATTTTTATTTAATTATTTAATTAAATGTATACGTCACCCATCTCAACAAAGGCAACTCTAGGTAGTTTGCAGTCATTCAATAAAAATGCCATAACATTAAAATATAAACAGAGGTGTTAAATTTAATTTTTGGTAAAAATAAATAGACCAAGATGGGAGAGGAAGGGAGCAAAGTGTGCAAAGGGAGAATGTGGGATGTTATCATTAGCCACTTCCAGAATGCCACATCTCCATTGGACCATCAAACTGGTTGGGAGAACCATGTCTTCAAGCTCTATTGGAAAAAAATGGGTGCAGGGTGGCATGATGTTCCAGAGGGAGGGAGCCAGTGCAGAAAAGGCCTTTCTGTTGGACCCAGCCACTTGAAATTTCCTTGACCGACAGATCCATAGCATGCCTCTTCCGCCAGCACAGGTAGGCAGGCTAGTCCCATTGGAATGAGATGGTTCTTCAAATAGCCCGGACCTATACCATGAAGGGCTTTAAAGGCGATAACCAGCATCTTGAACTGGACCCAGAATCAAACTGACAAACCAGAGCAGCTTGATGAACAGTGATGTAACATGGGCCACCCTAGAGGGCCTAAGCACTGCCCATGCAGCTGTGTTCTGCACCAGCTGAAGCTTCCTGATACTCTTCAAGAGTAGCCCCATGTTGAGAGTATTGCAATAGTCACAACTGGCACACAATATGAAGTTGAGCAGACTCTTCTAGCCATGATTGCCACCTTGTTGAGCAGCAGTTGTGAGTCCAGAAGAACCCCCCAAAGAGCTCACTGGATCTGTCTGGAGTAGTATCACTGCATCCAGAATGAGATGTTAGGCAGGCCTCAACAGACCTTGTCTCTGCTTGTTCCTGACATGATCCCATAGGACTCCCCAGGTTCTGTTTTCGTGAGTGCCTGGTATTCAGCAGCAGAAGTGTCTATACCTGTAAGTAACTATACTTGGCTCCCCAAGTCCTTTGTAGGTGGAGATATAAAACCATTGTAAGTGAAGTGACCCTACCTGGTTTAACATCTTTGCTTCTTCACTTTGTCTAGCTGCTCTTTTGTTACATGTTACTTGCACCAGCAGCACTGAAAAAGAAATTCATAATCAAGCACAAATTAGGAAAGAAAAAATAAACCCAGCGGAACCAAACCAGCAAAACTAAGAAACCAGAAGTGGAAATCCCAGATTTTATACAGTAGGGCAGTCATTAAAAGCCTAATCTTGGACATGGATTTCTATTTCTCCCCCATCTAGACATAGACAGGTTACACACATAACTCTTTGAGATTTCTCTGTGGTTCCAATTGCACTTTTCCTCTCCTCACCCAGAGGAGGAATAAGAAAGCAACCCCACCAACAATCCCACAGTCTTACCTTGGGATAACCATTTGTCCTCGCTACCAGTATATTGTAGTCTATTCTAAGAATGAGCTGAGGCAGGCATTAACCAATGATCAGTGTTTATTATAACAAAGAAATAGGTTACCCGCGTCAGCTGATATGTTGTCAAACTGGCTAGCTGGCAGGTAACAGCTGATGCCGTCTGACAGCTTCCTTTTATAGTTTGCTGTCAGACTGCTCAGCCAATAGGAACACACAGAACTCCCATTTAAAATGTAGACCAACAATGGAACTTCCGAAGAACGCAATACTCCTTTCCCCCAGCTAGGAGCATGCATAATCTTTTAAGTAGGTGGGGCGTTGTCTCTCTCACCCCGACCTGCGCAGTTCAGTCTTTTCAGCTGGTTGGAATGGATCGGCTGTCACCAGACTCTCCAGAATTGGCGGCCCTGGCCGAAGATGACTCGGAATCTCGCAGGAACTCTTCATCAGGTAGGTTTGTTTCAGCATGTGCATCACTCATTGGTGTCTCGAACTCCAGTTCATCATCTCCACAACACATTCCCTCTGTTTGTTCGTTCCCCTCTGAGTTACTTTTGGATGAGCCCCAACGACCTCTCAATTGGTCGATATGGCGATGCCATATTCTGCCACCCTGTAACCCAATTTTATACGACCTGGGGCCTGTTACAGCCACCACTTGCCGTGGAAGCCAAAGAGGATTACCCCCCAAATTCGTAGCATATACGGGGTCATTTACCTGGAACAACCTCACCTGGCTAAAGGAATCTAAGGGAATTGAAGGAGAGTAGCTTGGATGGAGCCTATCTAAATTATTCCTAAGCCTCCTTCCCATCAGCATCCCATCTACTGGAGAACAATTTGTCACTGAGCTGGGGGTGATATGTTGTGATAGTAAATAAGTGGCTAATTTTGAGTGCCAATCTTCACCCTTGATTCTGCCTAAAACCTCCTTGGCTGCCCTTATAGCTTGCCCATTTGCTGCCGGGTGATAAGGGGCTATCAGAGTGTGCCGGACCCCCTTCTTAGCTAGAAACAATTCGAACTTAGCTGATACAAATTGTGGACCATTGTCCGAAAATAGAACATCTGGAAATCCATGAGTTGCAAACAAATGGTCTAATGCTTTTATGACAGCTTCCGAAGTAGTAGAATGCATGAGGGACAACTCAACCCATTTAGAATAAGAGTCCACTACAATTAAGAATATGTGGCCGTGGAAAGGGCCTGCCAAATCTATGTGGGCTCATGACCAAGGGGACTTAGCCGATTCCCATTCCCCTGGATTGGCATCTGGTGGGGCAGGCCGCAATAGTTGACATGCCTGGCATGTCCTGACCCTAGTCGTTATGTCTGCATTTATGCCTGGCCACCAGACATAACTCATTGCCAGTGCCTTCATTCGGCAATACCTGGATGTCCTTCATGTAAACTGTCAATTATCCCAGGCCTCAACCTGCTAGGGACAATGACATGGCAACCCCATAATAAACACCCCTGCTGGGTGGACATCTCATGCCGCCTGGCTCTAAAGGGTAAGAATTGGGCCAACCCCTTCTCACCCAGTCCAAAACCTGTAATATTACTTGGTCCCTTGAGCAATATCTGCTGCAGTCAGAGGTAATTGTTGATCATCCAAAGAGAACACAGTTAATGATGGTGCAGGGTCAATTACAGGGGTTGGTAAGGGACAATGACTAATGCATGACTAAGGTGTTTCCCCGCTCTATGTATTAATGTATATGAATAGGCAGCAAGGAATACTACCCACCTAGTCATTCTTGGAGACAATACTGTAGGACTTGGACAATCCCCAGACAAAATGCCTAATAAAGGTTTGTAATCAGTCACAAGCTGAAAATGGTGACCGTGGAGGAACTCATGAATTTTTTTAATGGAAGCGACTGCTGCTAGGGCTTCCTTATCGATCTGCACATAATTTCTCTCAGTGCTTGATAAAGTCCTGGAGAAATATGCTATCGGTGCTTCTAGGCCATTTGGCAATTTGTGTGCCAACACTGCGCCTATCCCAAAAGGAGATGCATCGCAGCATAGTACCAAAGGTAAATCCCTGTCAAATTGTATTAACACACTATCAGATGACAGCAGACCTTTAACAGCATTAAAGGAAAAGTCCTCTTTGGGCCCCCATGTCCAAGAAGCATTCACATCCAATAATCTGTGTAACGGCTCTGCCACTGAAGCCTTATGAGGGAGAAAAGAGCTATAGAAATTTAGGAGCCCCAAAAATGCCTGCAGCTCAGTCTTGTTGAATGGTGTAGGGGCATCCTTAATAGCTCTTACCTTGGATTAAATGGGATGAATACCTTTAGTATCTATGTGATATCCCAAAAAATCTACTTGTTTGACGGCAAATTTGCATTTGTTTTTCTTCAGTTTCAAACCTGCTTATTTGAAACATGTTAGGACCCTTCTGAGAAGTTTGAAAAGTTCATCTTTGTTGCATGCGGAAATAAGAACGTCATCAAAGTAGGGCACTACCCCCGGAATGCCTTGAAGTAGTCTCTCTATAAGGCATTGGAATAACCCTGGTGCTACTGAAACTCCAAATTGTAATCTTATACATTTGAAAGCACCACGATGGGTGACAATAGTTTGTGCCTCCGCTGTAAGGTTATCAACCGGTAACTATTGATAGGCTTGGGCCATATCTAGTTTTGCAAAAATAGACCCCTTTCCCAGTGAGTGCAACAGATGTTGAATTATGGGCACTAGGTATGCATTGGTTTGCAAGGCCTTATTTATGGTACTTTTATAATCAGCACAAATCCTGATAGAACCATCCCGCTTCAAAGGTGTCACAATAAGGGGTTTCCCATTTTGCAAAATCTGTGGGTTCTAGAACCTCTTGGGCTATTAGTTTATCCAACTCTGCATCAACTTTAGGTCTTAATGCAAAAGGAACTCTTCTAGGTTTTAACCTGATGCATGCAATATTAGGGTCCAAGGTAAATGAGATTGGAGTTCCTACATATTGACCTAATTCGTCACTAAATATCTCTTTAAAGTCATTTAATAAGGCTTGTAAATCCTGATCCTGAATGGAATGTATTCCAGATACTGTAAATCCCAAAGATTTAAACCAGTCTAACCCTAATAGACTTGGTAGAGTGCCTTCTACTATTGTGAGAGGAAGCAGTCTCTCAAAATTTTGAAATTGGATGCTAAATTTTCCTGTGCCAATTACTGGAATAGATTGCGCTTGGTAGTCTTTTAGGGACAGTTTGCATGGCTGGAGATGTTTCTTTGTGACAGCAGGAACTAACCTTTTTAAAATGCTCCAGGATACAATGGATAGCGATGAGCTGATATCAATCTCCATTGGACACTGCTTTCCTTCTAAGGAGACAGTTACATGAATTTTGTTAGTGTAAATCTGGTTAGAAAAATTGTTAGGTGACTTAGAATTGTAAGAAGCCCTAGTAATAGTAAAACGTTCTTCTTTTTGTTTTTGTGATCTAACTTGAGGCTGGTATTGTGAATTAAAGTCTTTTCCAGATTTGCAAACCCTAGCTATGTGTCCCTTTCTTTGGCATTTTAAACAAACTACGTTTCTAAATCTGCGTGTGGACCTTAAATGATTACCACCACAACTCAGACAGGTTGTTTGTGGTTGCATAGTTTTGTTATCTGGAATCAAATTCTTTTGCTGTGGTGGGGGCTGCCCTCTGAGGCAATTTACATCTTCGTCGGTTTCAGAACTTTCGTCAGGGAAACTCATCGTAATGCATGGCAGTGCTTGGTTTGTTTGTAGCATTGCTATTAGAGCCTTGTATCTCAGCAGCAGAGAGAATTGACATTTCTGCCATTTGAGACTCCTCAACAGCCATCTTAAGGGTTAAATTGCCCTTGGCAAGCAAGCGCCTTTGAAGCCTGAGATCTCGTACACCACATACTAATTGATCAAGCAATTGATCCTCGAGATCCAGGAACTCACAATGCAGTGCCGCTTTTTGGAGGGCGGCCATGTAGGTACTGATAGTCTCTCCCTCAGCCTGTACTGTTCTCCTGAATGCGTGCCGCCTCGCAATCCTAGATGGTTAAGCGAGTAATGATGACTTAAAAGTTCTTGTAATTCTTCCCATGAAACTGCTTTAACAGTCTGAGGCGCCAACAATGCTATGGCAGTATCAAAAACCACAGCCCCGCAAAAGCTTAAGAAATACGCTTTTTCCCTATGGTTTGAAATCTCAGACA